TTTAAGTAACTTAAGTTTAGTCGTCCTAGTCAGTAAGAATTTTTTGTATTCATTGACTAATAACAGAATAAATAAATAAATAAATGTACCGTTATATGAAAGCGGCCGTAATTTTAGTCCGATTTCAATAATTTTCAATGTTTTGCTTCTATGTGGCAAGCACAATAACCATACAGAGTTTGGTACAAATTGGTAGAACGGTTATTCTATTCCAGTTCTTTTAAATTTATCATAAACGTATTTCTTGGTGAAGAATTGTTGCAAGCATCAATTTTGAATAAATTAGCTTTAATATTTAATGATTTATCGAAGATATCGTATTTCTCTAAATTACCGTTATATGGGATGTGGGCGTAGTTATTGTCCGATTTCAAAAATTTTCGGTCATTTGGTATGCTGTATCAAGGCCAACAACTGTGCTAAGTTTATAAGAAATTGATGCAGCGGTTACCAAGATAAACACATGTAACCATAAGTGGGCGTGGCTACGCCCATTTTCCCAAAATTTATAATATTCTTATTTTTCGTCTAAAAATTATTGTAACTTAAGTTGTACTTTAATAGATTATTCCCTCACTTACTATCTATCTTACTAATATTATAAATTTGAAAGTTTGGGAAACCATCACACGGCAACAACTGAACGGACTTTCATGGAATTTTGTACACAGATAGCTTATGACCTAGGTTGGAAACAAGGCTACTTTTTTGAGAGTTGCCATTTGCTAGAAAAGATTAATTAAATAAATATGCGGAAACGTCTGAACGGATTTGCATGAAAAATTTTGCACGCAGGTAGTTTATGACCAAGGTTGGAAAATAGGCTACTTTTTTAAGAGTTTCCATCTGTTTAGAAATCAGATTTTGCACACAGATGGCTTATGGCCTGGATTGAAAAATAGAGAAGTTTCCCGATCAGAACGAAATTTGGAACACTTACTACGGATTTCACAAGGATGGTCTTAGACTGAAAGTAATTCCGATAACGCAAGGCCGCTCCCATATAAATTGGAGTTTTCATAATACATGCATACATATCTCTGGAAGTATTTGTGGTAGATAACTGGAACTTGGTAGTGAGATATGTATGCGAAATCAAATTCATACTCACAGAGAAAAATGGACGTTTTTGGAAAAAAGGGTAGCACCTCCCTTATTGACTGGAAGTTTCACGTTGCACATCTATTCAAATATTTGGGGTAAAATAGTCAAGCTTGGTATGGAAATACATATGTATGTATGAATGTGAAACTAATCTCATAAGGTCCATTCATTAACTTTTCCAGTAAGTACTTGCAGCGAGAGCGTAAAAGAAAAATTGAGAGTAAAATTGAGAGCAAGAGAAAATTTTCAGAAAAAGTTATTGAACGCAAAACTAGTAAAAACTTGCAACTTAAGCCATTTTGACACTTTCTGACGGTTAAGTTTTGCCGCGCAATTTTCTTTTTAATTGGGAATAGTTCCCATCGTCATAGAAATAAAACAATATACAATAGATTTAAATTTTTCATATATATTTTCATTTCACTAATTATGTTTCATTAAATCATCCTCTTAAACAGTTTGTTTACATTTGAATTTGAAACATAACTTTACTTTTTGACTCCTGCAAATTCCGGCTAGTAAAATTTTTACTTGCAACAATTTGCAGCTCTCTCGGGTTGTTACGCTCTCGAATTCGCTCTCTCTTGCAAATATTTTGGGTTATTGAATGCATTTCCAGTAAAAACTTGCAACTACTAGTAACAATACGTAACAATTTTTTGATATTGAATGGACCTATAGTCATGGACAAAAGTGAGAGGTATTGGACAAGGTGGTGTGGCAACCCCATGCAAATTGATTTTTCTATACTGCATATCTATGTATGTGTTAATTGCAGAGGACTGGAACTTGGCACCGAGATGTGTGTAAAAAATTAATTCCATACTTATGGAGAAAAATTTGCTTTATTCGAAAAGGGGGCGTGGTACCTCCCATACAAATTTACTGTTTATACTGCATACCGCTAGAGGTGTTCATGGTAGAGTACTGGGACTTGGTACTGGGGTATATAAAATCAATTCCAAACTAATGGAAGAAAATTGGGGTTATAAGAAAAAGGGGCGTGGCACTTCCCGCACAAATTGACTTTTTGTTGCCACATTTCCCTGGAAGTGTTTGAGGAAGAAAACTGGAACTTGGTATGGAGTTGTGTATGCAAAAAATGTGAGTTATTAAAAGAAGAGTCATGTCGCCCCCATAGGAAAATTACATATTTCAAACGTGTGCTACAAGAACCCAAATCATTGTACAAATTCAAAGTTTCTAAAGGAAACACAAGAATCTCCAAAATTTGACTAACTCTGGCTGATATCAATAGTTTCTTCCATCGACGCAGAATTACTAACACGATAGCATGGTTCCAAAAAAATAGTCAAACCTTTTTTTTTTTCAAATTTAATTACACCCGATTTAGATGAACCTCTTTTGAGTTTTCTATTTGATTTTACACGCTTAAATTTTGTTGAGTTCCAGGGTTTAGTTCTTTAACTGGGAAACAACGAAAATGTCAAAAGCAAACCATGAAACTTGAAACCAGTTGACGGTACAGACGCATATGTTCTCTTCCCTTTTCTTCTCAACCCCTCTCTTCCACCAGCAATCAGAATTGAATTCAATACTTGAACCCTGTAAAACCCGATAATAGGTAAAAACTAGTGATGTGTATGCAAATCAATGTTGCCTAATTCCCATTTTCAACAAGTAAGAAAGTCTAAGTTCGGGCGGAGCCGAACACTAAACACCCGGCGCAAGTATTAAATATATGTTTTTCACCCTTCCGAAAGCTACCGCTACATGGTAAGCCGGGGTGTATAAATTTTGAGTAAATAAGCTTCCTTAAATTTCGAAATATTGAAGTTTAAAGAATAAGCATATTGACTTTAAAGCGAAAATGTACCGTTATATGAAAGCGGCCGTAATTTTGGACCGATTTCAATAATTTTCAATATTTTGCTTCTATGTGGCAAGCACAATAACCATACCGAGTTTGGTAGAAATTGATAGAACGGTTACCGAGATACATATATGTGATCATAAGTGGGCGGTGCCACGCCCATTTTTTTAATTTTATCATAAACGTATTTCTTGGTTAAGAATTGTTGCAAGCATCAATTTTGAATAAATTAGCTTTAATATTTACTGATTTATCGAAGATATCGTATTTCTCTAAATTACCGTTATATGGGATGTGGGCGTGGTTATTGTCCGATTTCTAAAATTTTCGGTCATTTGGTATGCTGTATCAAGGCCAACAACTGTGCTAAGTTTATAAGAAATTGATGCAGCGGTTACCAAGGTATACACATGTAACCATAAGTAGGCGACGCTACGCCCATTTTCCAAAAATTTATAACCTTCTTATTTTTCGTCTAAAACTCATTGTAAATATCAATTTTGAGTGAATTATCTTCAGTAGTTACTAAAATATCGCACTTTTCGTATTTCTGAAAATTACCGTTATATGGGAGGTAGGCGTGGATATTGTCCGATTTCGTCCATTTTCAATACCATCCGTCCCATGCCCAAAAGAAGTCCACGTACCAAGTTTCGTTAAGATATCTCAATTTTTACTCGAGTTATCGTGTGCACAGACGGACGGACGGACGGACGGACGGACAGACAGTCACCGCTTAATCGATTTCTCTTTTCATTCTGATAATTTATGTATTTAATTGTCTATATCTATCTCGATTCGTTTTTCCTGTTACACCGTTATGTGAACAAAGTTATAATACCCTTGTGCACAAGCGCGCTCGGGTATAAAAAAAAATAAAAAAAATGCATACTAAGTAGTACATATAATATAAACAATATGTATATTTCTTCAAACAAAGACAATCGATAGTGGCAACGACCTTTCGATAGTGCAAAAAAATATAACCATTCGATAGTATCGATAGTACCATCGATAGTTTTACAGCTCTACTAATTTGTTTACTAAATCTGGTGGTGCGTCATCTAGTTCGCCATGAAAGTAGGCTGAGGCAATCACGACCTCTGTCTTTCGCCCGTTCAGTTCCGCTTCCACCAGTAATGTGACAGTGTCGCCATCTGTAAAGTCATAGAAAGGCGGAAATTTCTTTTAATATACATGTACATTAGACTGTATGTTCTTTGATATGATATCTACCGACGAGGTTGATGTCTAGACCAGTTTTTATTTATAGAAACTTTTATAGAAACTACTACCGGCGAGGAGGCATCTGCCTCTAGTGTTGCTAATTGTATGTTCCTTGATATGATACCTACCGACGAGGTTGATTTCTTGACTAGGTTTTATAGAACCTTTTATTATGACAAAGGTGCCTGGACAAACAAGACGGCAAGTTGATAAAAGCGTGGTAATAATAATAATAAAAAATCTGTTCGATGCATTAGAAACGTTTTGATTCGATGCATTAGAAACGTTTCGATTTTTGTCCACAGAAATCTGGTCACGGTAGTTATATTATAGTATTTGTAAAAATGTAACGTTTTTCAAATTAAATGAAAACATTTTCAAACAAAGCGAAACCTTTTTCAAATTAAATGAAATCTTTTTCAAGTCAAGCGAAACCATTTTAAAATTAAATGAAACATTTTTCAGACAAAGCGAAACCTTTTTCAAATTAAATGAAACCTTTTTCAGATTAAATGAAACTTTATTCAAATTAAATTAAACTTCCTTTTAAGAATATTTAATTTAATTTGAAAAGGGGTTTCGCTTTATCTGAAAAAGGTTTTATTTAATTTAAAAATGGTTTCGCTTAACCTGAAAAATTTTCATTTAATTTGAAAAAGGTTTCACTTAATTTGAAAATGGTTTCATTTAAACTGAAAATGCTGTATCAGATGTATTTAGTACATCAGTCAGAATTAAGAAAATCAATATTGATTTTGAATTGTGATTTTTAGTATGTGTTATAGATTGTAAATGTGTGGGGGCTATTCAATCGTTATGAGCAAACAAGTTTTGTGTTATTGAATTATATGATACATTGTATGTTTATTTTTACTTCGGCTAAATAAAAACAAACTGTATTGTTTTTAAAATTTAAGTAACTACAATTTAATTTTTTTCTACGTTACAGGGTTGAGTGCGCTTGATGTCGGCGAAAGCAAGAGCAGTGGTTCCGCGATGTGTCTTCTCTGCATGGTTGCGACATCCAATTCGTTAGAAGCGCTGCCGACAATACTGAAACGAGCATCTGTTGATCCCCTCGCGTCTATGTCCACAAATCCCTTAACATCCTTGAACAAGTGGCACGTGGGGCAGCGACGCTTCAGGGCTGGCCGCCGATGAGAGTCCATGCAACGCAAGGCATAGCGAAATTCGTCGAGCATCTCGCCGCAAAGTGAACGCTGGGGCGGTGTTTCGGTGCAACAGTAGGCGGTAACATGCTCGCAAGACTGCTCCTGTTGCTGCTGGATGAATTCTAGTTCAACGATGTGATCCTCCTGCAGTTTGTCGCGGTCAGATGTATCGGCGAGGACGAAACTACCTGTAGCACTTGTCGCCTTGTCGGTAACCGTAGTGTGGTGGTATTTATCCTCACAGTAGACGCTACGCCTATTTCGGGTGCGATAGTGGTACCAAAACTCGAACACAGCCACGCAAGCTGCTACGCCTATACCCACGAGTAGGACAACGAACACGCCACCTGCGATTAAATATCGAAAGTATAGTTGTTAATAAATTGTTAAACGATCAGTTAAGTAAACAAATGTCCATTCATGCAAGTCCCTTTATACTATATTCAATGTGAGTTTTGCAAATTTTTTACAATAAAAATTGCGACTTTCAATTCATGATTCTGCAGCATTAGTATGTACACAAGCTTTTGAAATAATTTCTTCTTTAAAAATACGACCATATATATCAGGGGTGGGCAAGACCGAGGCCGAAAAGAGCCACATGTAAATTCTAAATGCTACAAAGAGCCACAAGAAAAAACAACAAAAACAAAATGTTAATTTTTAAATAGAATTATTATTAGAAATGAAAAACATAATTTTGTTAATATTCTAATGTACGTAAGATAAATATTAAAGAAAATTCAAAAAATCCCTTTGGCCAAATTTTCAAAATCTGTTTTTACGTCAGTTAAAGCCGCTCGTAACAGTTCTGTTAAATGTTGGTTAGTCAATAGGTGCGTTCGTTTAAAATTTCCAGTAAAAAATGTCCAAGAGCAAAATTCCGGCGAAATGTCACCTGTTCTCCCACAAGAGAAAAATATCCAAAATAATACGCAAAGTATAAAGTTTAAAACGTAAGAAAACAAATCCCGAAGTCTTATGCTGACATAGTTGACTGACTAAACAAATAATTACTTCTTACAAGTTTAATTAGTCGGACTTTACTATTTTAACTTCCAAACCATAAAATTCAATTTAGGGATTTGCGTAAATTCCAACCAGCTGTTTTTGATCAGCTGTTTTCTTGTTGGCAAATTGCTGTTGGTGAAAATTTTTCCTGCAGAAACTAGCAGCTTTCCCTCAAAATGAAATGTCATTTTGCTCTCTCCATTTCCCGTACTTTGCAAGTTTTTTGCGTCCGCGAACACAAAAAGCTGATAGTTTTTATAACTTTCAAAAATTATGAAGTACGCGAATGCAACTTATTGAGAACGGTATTTTGACTTTACGAACTTCAATGTAGAGTACAAAAACTCAGAGTTATACGTTGCACCAAAGATTGAAAATATACGGCACACAGCTGTTTTCAACAGCGGATATTTTAAATCTCGTACTTGTTGCCGGAATTCAAGCAATGGAAAAGTTTTATGTTTAGTGTTATTCCAAAAACCGCAACTCTTCTTCGCTTTTCTTAAAAAGGAGTATTTCGGATATTGTAAATTCATCCTCTATTATGTTACATGAAAAAGGGTTTATGAAGTATCCAAACGAACATTTCAATAATTTCAAATCGGCAAATCTTTTTTCAAAATCTGCTTTTAAATCATGTGCAATATTTTTTTCTAGCCATGGAAATTGATGAAATATCCTTTTTTTGAGATTATGAATGAAAAACATAGCTAAGCTTTAAAACTTAAAATAATTTGCGACAAATCAAGAACATTCTTATTCCCTCCTTGTAGAGGCGATTTCAAGTTTTGCAAATGTTCCATCATATCGGTAAAGAACATTTAGTCAGAAAGCCAATTTTCAATCTCCACTAGCGGGTAATGTTCCGATCTCAATTTACGNTGTGTTATATACAAACATAAGTATGTACATTAGGCTGGGTCGATTTTGTATGGGGGAAAATAAAAGTCATTTGACCGCATTGTAATAGTAATATTATGATGTCTCAGGTCTCATCCAATTGTTATTGGCCAAGAAAGATTAATTTAAAACTTATCTTAAGCCCGCGCAATTGAATCAAAGTGTATGAATTTTGTAAATGAAACTTTGGCTTGTAATATCTATGGAATGCGTTATTATTATAAACAAGACGATATATCAAATTAAGGGCTATTAAATTTAGCACCTCACGTCCATTTATAATTTTTCAATAAGTCTACACGTTTTTAAGATATTAAGATAAAACTTACAAAAACTATAATTTTCCCTTATGAATTTTCAATTCTTCATTACTTCAGCAACCAAGTGAAAAATACAAAAAAGTGAGACGAGATTTATTTCAAGCCTTTTAATGTTTTCGGATGTTTATATAATATTAAAATGGCCATGGACTTGGTCACGCCGATTTGGTCAGTTTTCAAGATCGTGGTGAATGAATGTATTGTCAAAGATTAGGAATCGTTCGACAAGTTAATAGTAGTTTCAAACATATAAGTATTTACATACATTACAATTAGGGTGAGAAACGCCCATTTTGAGTCCTTTTTTCCAGTCTTAAAAACTGGTGCTGAATGGTTTCATTAGTCGCCGCAGAAGCACATTTTTCGCGGTTTCTAAATTTGCCGTTATATGAAAGTAGGGGACGTGCAATAAGTGTTTAGATATACATAAATATTTTAGTTAATTGCATTATGTGAAAAAGTGTCTGTAGGTAAATGCAGTAGCCTTTAACATATCCTAGGAAATCCTTTTGAGGACTCCCCAATTGGACGATATTGCTTTGCATTCAGCTTGAACGAAAAAAGTCACTCGCTGGCACAGTTTTCTGTAATCCGGTTCTTTTATTTAAAGGTTATTTATACAATTGAAGAGAAATTTTTTAGAAAAAAACTGGAAATCCACTTAAGTTTTTCGATATAACTTTGGTAAATGTTACTCGATCGGTGCGTAATAAATAACAAATTGAAGGCGAGACTTAATGTTACTGATTTTTGATAATAATATGACTAAAATAGTTCAGATTATAAACCAATTATTTTAAAATAAAAAAAAATTTTGAACAAAATTTTTTATCATTTTCTTATATTTGCAATTTTTATATTGTATGCATAAACATAAGTAAACCAATTAGTGTGTCTAGAAGTTGTGCCTGTTCAGTGTTTCCATACTAATTTGCATAAACAAAATTTTTCCGCGATGATGGAAAATAATGGCTATTCTATTAGAGCTACCGATATTGTTCCTAAATTTGCAAAAATTCGCAAACTATAGCTAATATTAAAAAAGGATTAGAATATTTGGAACTAGCGATCTAAATGCACGCCAGCAATATTAATGTTGTTCTTTACATCTTTTGACTATAGGCCAGTGCAATTATCAAGAGAACAATTAAAAATTTCCTGAAAATAGATGAGTTTGAGATTAACGATAAGATAAAGGGCTGCGCGAAATGATACTTGCCTTTATCTTTTGCGTTAAAGGATTCATTATGTAATAATATGCACCAAAACTTTTGGCTAAACCCAGAATTTTTAACAAGAATTGGTCTTATTCGACTAGTGTGCTGTGGGTCACTTGGCGGTCGATGCGCGGGCTCTTACAATTAAAATGGAAGACTAATATTTCGCAGGCTTGTTGTTGACTTCATGATACAATATATTTTCACTATTACCAAGGGATTTGAGAAAAATTAGATTTTCGACCCGCCCTAGTGTACATATATATAAAGCATAAAATAAAATAAAAACTCAATGGAAAAGAATGTGCAGCAAAGAAATATGTATTTTAAAAAGTAATAAGTAAGAACGTCTAAGCTCGGGCGGAGCCGAACATTAAATACCCGGCGCAAGTACTAGTTGCGTTCCCCAACTTTTCTGGGTTAAAACCTGTAAAACTGCCAATAGGTAAAAGAAGCCAGAGAACCGAATACAGGAACGCTTTATGGTAAATTCCTGCAAATTCTTGCACCTTCTTGCGAGTTAGGGAACGCAACTATTAAATATTTATATATATGGTTTTCACCTTTCCGCAAGCTACCGCTAAATGCTAAGCCGGGGTGTATCAATTTTTAGTAAGTTAGCGTCCTTAAATTTCGAAATATTGAAGTTTCAAGCATTTCTGAAAAATACTGTTTTTTGAAAAGCGGCCGTAATTTTAGTCCGATTTCAACAATTTTCAACGCTTTGCTTTTAAGGGCAAGCACAATAACCATACCGGTTTTGGTACAAATTGGTAGAACGGCTACCGAGATATATATATGTGATCATCAGTGGGCGGTGCCACGCCCATTTTCCAAAATTTTACCATATACGTATTTCTTCGTAAAGAATTTTTCCAAACATCAATTTTGAATAAATTAGCTTTAATATTTACTGATGCATGCGTGGTTATTGTCCGATTTTAAAAATTTTCGACCATTTGATATGCTGTACCAAGGCCAACGACGGTGCCAAGCTTGGAAGAAATTGGTTCAGCGGTTACCAAGATATACACATGTAACCATAAGTGGGCGTGGCTACGCAAAAAAAATCGCGTTTTTTGCAATATTTGAGAAGGTCTAGCAATGAAACAAAAGGTGATAGAACCTTCCACTTAGGCTTAAATTAAGGCTTGGACTTCTGACTTCAATCCCTAAAATACCATTCCTGCACCTTGGCCCTGAGTTTACCTATAGTCATTTATTTTTTTACACCATTTTTGACGATAAAAAGTAAATGAGTATAGGTGACCATTAGGGCAAGGTGCAGGAATAGTACTTTCAGGGATGGTAGTCTGTAGTTCTAGCTTTAATTTAAGCCTACGTGGAAGGTTCTATCACCTTTCGCTTGATTGTGGTAGGAACTCAAACTTCCCGAAATCAGTTATTCCTGTTCAACAAATGAATATAAGGGCTGGTTTCTCCAACTCAACTTAATTAAGCCAATTTTTTTGACCCAGTCAAGTATAAGCTGTGTAAAACGAAACTTTTGACTTAAGTCCAAAAGTGGCTAAACTATGTTAAGTTGAGTTGGAGAAACCAGCCCTAAGTGACCATCAATCAAAGGTGCGGGAACTTGCTTTAATCAAAGCCTAAGTGGAAGGTTCTACCCCCTTTGTTTCTTTGCTAGAGCTTCTCAAATATTGCAAAAAACTCGATTTTTTGACAATTTGACCTCGTTTTTTCTTAAAATCTAGAGCTGATGGTAACTTTTTGCTTACGGATTCGTAATCAGCATAAAAAAATCTGTCAAAAATAGCGTTTACATTACTGCATCAAATTTTTTTTCCATTTTTGTTGGCCTGTGTAATAAGTATTGTTAAATAGCCAATACCCGCATGTTTGCGGCGCCTTCAACCAAACATCTTTCGAACTGTAAAA